TAGCACAACGGACCAGACCTGGTCCCTTTTGACATGACTGATAAGGCCTGGGCTAGCCAGCGCCACTAAGACCATTTGCTCCGTCATACCTAGAGCCAGGGCCAGGTGCTGAGTCATAAGACTCTCCCACGCTGTGCCCGCCGTCCCCAGCAGAATCCACAGCAGATTACGCAGCTGTAGCGCCGTCATCTACACTTCGGGGTCCAAGATCCCCAGCCCCCCCTGACTCCTAGGCTGGGTGAGCTTCAACCACGCCACCCTGGGGATTACTCACTCCGCTTCCACGTCACCTGCCCACATGTATCGATGTACTGCTGTCCGCAACTGCCTGAAAACCCGCCTCTTTGGCATATGGATGGCCCCAGCATACCACATTGTAGATAGCACCGAATTCTTGAGGACCAGGGCCTTTCCAAAAACGCCCAAGTGCGTCCTCTTCGCCCAGCGCCCCAACCTCATAATTGCAGCCGCTGCCAATCCTTCCATCTGCAAAGCACCAACCCCTTCCGGGTGGATCATAACACCGAAGTTGCAGATGTTTTCACCATCCTCCAGGGTGGGAACATCCCACCCTTCTGGGGCTACGCATCCCTGCGGCAGTATGGCCTTCGACTTCCGCCAATTCTCCCTTGCCCCTGAATACTAAGAGAACAGATCCAGATCCATTTAAAGGCGCCGTAGTTGCTGCATAGTGGGAGGGATGACTGCGCTGGTGTCGTCTACAAAGGCTGTGGACTTGAGGACCACATCCTGTCTCAGCTGCAGTCCTGCAGGGCCTCGTCCCCTCGAAGGAGGTCGTGTAGGGCCTCGACATAGATGACATACAGAGCAGGCGACAGCGGGCATCCCTGCCGAACCGATCTGGTGAGTTGCAGAAAACCATAACGTACTCCATTCACCTTCATGTACGTGCGGGCGGCAACCAGGAGCAGTCTAGTCCAATTACAGAACTTTTCCCCAATGCCCCTCCGGTGGAAGCTTTGAAGGAGAAATTCCCACCGCACCCGGTCGTAGGCTTTTTCGAGGTCAATCGTGACAAAGGCCAGCGGTTGATCGCAAATCTCCTGATTTCAAAGTACCTGTCGTGCCAGCATGATGTTCGAAACAATCTGCCATCCCGGAACAAATCCTGCTTGGGCGGGGTTGATAATACGCGGCAGCACCTCGTTGAGCTGGTTCGACATGACCTTGGCCTGAATCTTATAGGGGGAATTTAGAATTGAAATCGGGCACCAATTCCTGACATCCTCGCGGGCCCCCTTCTTATAGATCAGCACCACAATGGCATCGGCGAAGCCTTCCGGGAGGCGCCCCGCCTGCAAGGCATCGTTAAAAGCCCGGGTAAGAAGTGGACCGAAGAGACAGTGCTGTGCCTTGTACATTTCGACTGGGATTCCATCCACGCCAGGCGCCTTAAGCCTGGGAAACTCTCCAATCGCCCGAAGAACCTCTTCCAGTGTGATGTCCCACTCCAACGGCTGTGCCTGTGCCTTGGTTAGTCCAGGCGGGACATGTCGCCAGATATGTTCCTGCGGGGCTGCCGCCATCTGCTCGGCAGTCGATCCCTCCTCCTTAGTGAATAGATCCTCGTAGAAGTCTATGACGCAGCGCGCAATCTCCAACGTGGTCTCTTGCCTCACCAGCTATGGGTCGAATGGGTGATCCATTGCGGTCATGAGAGCGATCCCCTATTTCTTACCCAACTCCTCTGGACATCTTCTCTCCCACGACAGTCCATCCCACCTTTGATTTGCGTCCCCACCAGGCGGCTTCCACTGTCTCCCACTCTTGCCACTCTCTCGCTGCCTCCACCCTCTCTACCCACCATTCCTCCTCCGACTGGTGCTCCTTTGGGCCACTATTAAGGGCACTAAGCCGGTCTGTGTATTCCTGTCCTTTGGCCAGATGGGCTCGGTAAATCCTTGCCAACCGGTCGTGCAAACATCTTCTCAGCAGGGCATTGCCCTGCAGCCACACAGTGCAAAGTGTTCACACTAAGACGTGCATGGCTTAGTCTTTGAGACAAGCATATGACTACTGGCAGGATCAATCATTTAGCGGGTGTGACGAGCAGCCGCAAGGAGCGATGGACGAGGCGCACGTAGGCACGTCACGCCGGACAGCCTACCAAAAGAACGTCGAACAATCGTGCAACGTGCAATGAGCTGTCGAGACGCCACGAAGTCCGGCTGTTTGAATTGCAGGTGAACTTCCCTCCGTAGGCCATCTCGAACGGCAAGGTACCGCACAATCCAACACAGCCGGCCGCACCCACCCAAGAGATTGGCTGCGAACAGCACCCGCCCACACCACACCCAGAGATCGCAAGTTAACCACACTACCCGAACAACGCCGCGCGCGAAGGAACCACCGACAGCTTCGGCCCACAGCCGGATGCCACCGCCCGCCCAAAACGTACCGACAGCGAAGTGCACAGCCTCATCTCTCCATCGAGAAACGCGAGTGAAGAGAGAAACGAATGCGCCACGCTTCCAACACGCCCGGACGAACGGAAAGCCTCCACCTGTGCACGGGTGCGCAAAAGGAACACAACCCCTCTCCCCCCTGGGTCCACATCCGCCGGTTGCCGCGGGCACCACCAACAACACTCGACGCAGGCGAGACCACAGGATGGGGGACACGACGGGCACAAGCATGCATTCCAAAAAGTCGGGCGGATGACGGGCCCAGCCTCGCGACGCCGTCGGAGGGTACATCACGCATCCCAGAAGTCTCCGCCGTCGCATACGGTAAGCAGCGCGTGCATGGCCGAGGCCACCTGCACCACCGCTCAATGGTGCCGCTCGGATGGCGAAGAGCGCAGAGCGTCCTCACCAAGTCGTGACACCCCCTCAAAACAAACGGAACGCGCCGTTGTGAGTGCGGACATGAAGACGACACCACAACAGAGCCGCAACAGCTCTCCCCGTAACCTACGGGATGATGGTGCCAACCGGACCGCCGTCGGCGATCAGGCGCCAATCATCGCAAGACGATGAGCGAGGGTGAACGCAACGGTCCACAACCCGGCACCACGGCATAGGAAAGCCCCGACAGCTGCGACCGCTGCCAACGACGCCCGAGCTGTCGTGAAATAAGCCCTCCAAGAGAGACGACCATGGACCCGAACGACGCCGCAAAAATGTTCGCTCGACCACCAAAGCACGACTCGCCTGTCCCTCGCAAACTGGAAACCACCCAAAGCGTGTGCAGAGAGTCCCYCGTAACTCGAGTACAAGGTCCCAAAACCCATGCCCGGAACGTCGCCTTCGTTGACTGCACGGGGGCTGCTAAGCACTTAGGCCCTATAAGAGTGCAAACGGGACTYCGAACCGCCAACCACCGACTGTTTGGCACATCCGCAGGGTGCTCACTGCGCCATCCGCCGAGGGACCTGCACATGTCCCTTTCCAGCAAGCTGACTGGACAGACCCCAATGCCGATGTCCCCCTCGGGACCTCATCCCTTTCCGCTCTTAATAAGACGCCTCTGGACCTTCGATCCTGGGAGACACCCTTTTCTCGGGACCGTTCCTACGCCCGAGTGGCAGTGCGCGGTATCTGCTGCCCCCACAAAATTTGGCACCTCAAAAGTCTGTCCCATCTCCGTCCCTTCCACACACAAAGGGATAAGGGGAAGGGCCGGGGGAAAAAAATAAATACATTGAAGAAAAAAAAAAAACCGGGACAAAACAAGCAAAGAAAAGGCCAAGCAGCTTTTGTGCCTAGCGACTCGGATCACGCCGCGGTGTGGGAGTGAAAAGTTTACGGGAAGTCTGGCAGAATCGTGCGTCTGTTGTGGGGTTATGTGTTGGAGAACATGACCGGACAAGCACTCTTGAAAGAGAAAGGGGGAAAGAAAAGTCAAGGATGACTTGGCAAAATCGACATTTCAATTTGTGTCGGCCCCGAAAAAAACAGCATCCGGCAGAAGAAGCGAGGCCGAAAACCCGACGGGCATAAGCATTTCCGTGCATGTCCCGGAGAACACCATGGAGCCAATCAAGTACCGCCTCCAGTGAAGCAGGCCGCCATGGGGAGGGCCAGATAGGGTGAGAATTGGCTTTCCAGGTCGGAAACACCAAGGGCATACTTCGCGCACGCCCCACCACGATTACGCTTGTACGTAGGCGGGGCCAGACGCCCTCTGTCTCTGCCCCTCTACTAAAAATCTTCCGTTAAATTGATTGAATACTTGCTTGAGCAAACTTTTATCTACAGAATGAGAAGATTGAGAATTTTGTTTTCATCATGAAATAAAGGTGAATCCAATAGGGAAAAAAATTAAAAAAAGTCATATACATAATATTATAGACGTATGTACATAGTGCACGTTTGCATTTTGTTTGAATACTTGAAGAATAGTTTTTTTTTTCTTTTACTGAAACAAAGGTCGCCCGCCACATCGTGAGTAAGTGTACAATGTGGCACTCACGTCGATCCAGCCTTTGGTCCCAAAACTCCTTGCAGCCAAAAGTGGCAGGCCGTATGGGGCGACATCGRACAATGTGGCATGCACAAACGCCCACCGGGTCAAGTACAGGAAGACAGGCGGACACATATCCATGCTTTCGGACAGATGGCGCGCCTCTCAACAAGGGCAATGGCTCTCTTCAGACGCGGATGACCGTCATTCAAACATTTGAGGAGGGGTGGGGAGCCAGAAGGTGGGGGAAACCCTTGGAACAAAGGGCCGAATCTCAACAGATCGGGATGACAAGGCCGCTCAACTGCTTACAACACCCCGTTCCCTGTCTAAGTCKTCTGCAAAGGGTTTGACTCCCTGAGCGAAAGAAATTGCGATGAAGAGACCCCCAGGGCGTCGGTGCTCCGCCGCAGGAGGGACAACTCCGAACTTATGCTTTCGGGGCTAGACCGGCTGGGCCTATCGACAGCCTTGTGTCATCCGAGGAGGCATACGCCATCGCTGCAAGCACAAATTCTGACTCAGAGGCGTTCAGTCATAATCCCACGCACGGTAGCTTTGCACCACTGGCTTTT